GTTCTCTTTCATTATAAAACTAGCCCCCATACACTTCCTGTTGTATATCAACGACCTACCTGAACGAGTGAAATGTGGGATTCGATTATTTGCTGACGACTGCATCATATACCGACCAATCAGCTCTGCCGGAGACAGCACCAACCTGCAGGCCGACCTCAACGCTCTTCATCAGTGGACATGGGACTGGAAGATGACTTTCAACCCAGACAAATGCGTCGTCATGCACATAACAAAAAGAAAAAAACAAGCGGAAGACCATCTACAACTTGAATGGGGTAAATCTTGCAGAGGTCAAGTACACCAAAATACCGTCGAGTCATTCCAGGATGGGCAAATTATCAATAGGAACAACCTGCATGTCTTTCCGACTATGACTCGGCAGGTTAAAGTGACTTGCTACAGGAAAATCTGATCTGTTCTGCTTGATGGAGCAGCAGTGGTTGTTGATTCCGATATTGAGCTTTGTATTAAAGATGAGGATTGATTAGGTTGCCTTACAAGCGCCAGCTGTAGGGATTTTCCCTTTAGCTCAGCGGTAGAGCATCGGGCTGGAGAGGCAAGGGTCGCGGGTTCGAGCCCCGGCGTCGGCACTGTCTTTATCACTTTCCCTCGTCCTATTACATATGTGTTGGTTTCACCCACATACTGCATTTTGCATTTTTTGCAGGAATTAAGGTATATTACATTGACTGATGTGCATGTCAATGATTGTAATATTACATATGTGTTGGTTTCACCCACATACTGCATTTTGCATTTTTTGCAGGAATTAAGGTATATTACATTGACTGATGTGCATGTCAATGATTGTAATATTACATATGTGTTGGTTTCACCCACATACTGCATTTTGCATTTTTTGCAGGAATTAAGGTATATTACATTGACTGATGTGCATGTCAATGATTGTAATATTACATATGTGTTGGTTTCACCCACATACTGCATTTTGCATTTTTTGCAGGAATTAAGGTATATTACATTGACTGATGTGCATGTCAATGATTGTAATATGTTATAAACTTTGTCGTTCTTTTCACATTTGAACTGTATCTGTCGAGTGTGTATATACACAGTTTGCACAATTTTTGTTGCATGTTTTGAAATAAGTGCTGGCATGTTCGGATGGAACGTACACAACTTGTACCCTTTATGTTTGAAGTCTGACTTTATGTATTCAACCCCAAATACCAAAACATATTTACGCAAAACCAAAACTTCTGCCAACATTTGGTATCCGAATTTCGAATTTCCTGCAAGAACTCAACATAAAATTGACGGACATAGCTGAATTTAACATATCTGATGTTCCTCCGTGGACCATTCAAACCCCTGATTTTAACTTTACAGTACATGAGCGAGGGAAATCAAGTGTTATGCCCGAAGAACACAAATCCTCCTTTCGGGAATGCATTTCGAATTACCCTTCTCATACACAACTTTTCACCGATGGTTCCAAAGAAGGTGAGAAAGTGGCAGCAGCCTGCTGTACTGCTAATACTTGCACTTCGAATTACACTTCTCATACACAACTTTACACCGATGGCTCCAAAGAAGGTGAGCAAGTGACAGCAGCCTGCTGTACTGCTAATACTTGCACTTCAGTTCGACTACCAGACGGCGCCTCCATCTTTTCCGCTGAAGCATGCGCCACTCGTTTGCCCCTCGACCATATCGATGAACACCGCATTAAAAAGGTGATCATTTGTTCAGACTTTCTACCTGTCCTACAGAGTCTACAGTTAAGAGATCCTAAAAACACACTCATACAAAACTTTGCTCTTCGAATATCTCGCATCTTGAATAAGTCAAAAATAACTTTACTATGGATTCCGAGCAATGTCGGAATTAAAGGCAACGAATTTGCTGACAGGGAAGCAAAAAATGCATTGAATCTCGAACAAACAAATATCAAACTACCATACACAGATTTTAAACCTACTATTCGTACAGCCATTCAAAATGAATGGCAGAAACGCTGGTCTCTGGAGACCAACAACAAACTTTTTAAGATACAACCGAAACTTAAAACATCTATTCCCAGTCGGAAAGATCGTAGAGAGGAAGTTGTCCTCGCTCGGCTCCGCACTGGGCACACATATCCTACTCATTCGTACCTTTTAAAACGAGAAGATATACCTTCATGCCACGCATGTGACACTCCATTTACAGTGGAACATTTTTTAATAGAATGTTCCGATTTTAAACACATTCGTGATAACTACTTCCGAGTCCCGGATATGAAAACACTTTTCAGTTCCGTGGATTCGAAGGCATTATTTAACTATTTGAAAGACATCGGTCTATTTTATAGACTCTGATGTCTTTTAATCCACCTTATCATTTTTGACGTTATATATATATCGCATATTCCATATCATCGATTCGTTATCTCTTTTATTATTTTAACCCCCTTTTTTATTTTTTATTATCTACATATACAATGCGAATGCTTTTAAAATGAACCATTTTATCTGATTTAATCGTTGCTACTCACATGTTTGTTAAAAAAATAAAATAAATAAATAAATCACCATGGCCCTAAATGACCACAGCCGTCGATGGGCCGTTAAACATAAACAAACAAACTGACTTTATATTCGAGCAGACTTGCCCTGTGGACCCTGCCTTTATCTATTTTCCGAACTATCAAAGTAGACTGATATCTCTATAGAGAAAATGGAATTTTAGTTCTGAACTTAAACTCGTTAAGTTAAGTTTTTTTGAATGCCCACTGGTACCATGTCTTTCGGAATAGTCATGCCACAATTTAAGGAAATCTGATGCGTTTCGATCACAGACACCACTCGTTATCTTGTATACTTCTATGACACCACCTCTTGCACGTCTATAACTCATAGTCGTTGCCCTTCGTTGAACTCCTTCCAGCATGACAATATGTTTAGCTTTATATGGGTACCATACCGTGTTTGCTTATTCTAGATGAACTCCAATTAGAGTTTTATAAAATAGCGGAAAAGTACGTCGAATCTCCGTGAACATTGAATTGACCTTTTTTTACCTGCGCACTTATATTTGGCCTTCAAATGTTAGGGCATTGTCTACAATCACTCCAAGATACTTCTCATGGCATACTTCTTTTTAATGCTGCATTGTTTAGGTACTATATTCGTTCACTTGACGCACGATCGATGTTTATAGATTTACAATTTCAGAACGCATTTGTCGCTCCACTTAGTGTCTTTTCATATCCGCTTGGACATCATTTGTATCGTTAATCCCACATATCACTTTGACCGTTTTGGTATCATGAGCAAAAACGTAGCCGGTAGAGTTGATATTATCTAGAATATTATTTATGTATAATATGAACATAGTGGGTCCTATGACGGATCCTTGGGGCACTCCCAATGTTATTGTAGTCCTTAAAACAGTAACACTGCAAAAGCGTAATATATAAGTATACTGACACAATTTGTAAAATTTCTTTCAAGAATATCCTTGAATATCGTACAAAAGACCTCATAGTCTGTTATGAAATAAAACTTTTTAAATTCAATAGTTTATTAGCTCACCAAGGTGAGCTTATGCCATACCGTGGCGTCCGTCGTCCGTCCGTCCGTCCGTCCGTACGTCAACAATTTCTTTAAACGACTTCTTCTTAACCACTGGTTGGAATTAAACTAAATTTGACTGGAAGCATCCCTAGGTGGTGGGGATTCAAAATTGTACAAATGGTGGGTATGACCCCCCAGGGGGCTGAGGGGCGGGGCCAAAAGGGGTCAATTTGCCCATATTGCTTTAAGCGACTTTTCTGGAACCAAGAAGTGGATATCAACCATATTTGACTGGAAGCATCCCTAGGTTGCTGGTGATTAAAAATTTTACAAATGGTGGGGCTGACTCCCCAGGGGGCTTAGGGGCGGGGCCAAAAGGGGGCAATTTGGCTATATTGCTACAAACGACTTCTTCTGTAGAACTATGTCATGGATATTGATCATATTTTGTCGGAAGTATTCATGGGAGGCAGGGTTTCAAAATTGTACAAATGGTGGGGCTGACCCCCCGGGTTAAGGGGTGGAGCCAATAAAATGTATTACTTGGAAATGGTTGAGATCCCCACCATATAACCATATATACAATTGCTGAGTATAAAAGAAGAATGCACATTTGCTTCCAGGATGTTCCTGGGGTCTGGCCCCACCCTTGGAGACATAGTCCCTGGGCCATAACTTTAAAACGGTTGAGATCCCCACCCCAAAACTATATATACAAATGCTGGGCATAAAGAGACGAATGCAATCATGATATCAGAATAGACCCTGGGGTCTGACCGAACCCCTAGGGACCTAGTTTCTTAGTCACAGCTAGGAAATAGTTGAGAGCCCCACCCGTTAACCGTATATATACAATTGCTGAGTATAAAGAGATGATTGCACATATGCTTCCAGGTTGGCCTTGGGGACTGCCCCACCCTTGGAGACTTAACCCCTGGGTCATAACTTTGAAATGGTTAATATCCCCACCCCAAAACTATATATACAATTGTTGGGCATAAAGAGACGAATGCAGTCATGACATTAGAATTGATCCCAGGGTCTGCCCCACCCTTGCAGACTTGGCCCCTGGGTCATAACTTTGAAACGGTTGAGATCCCCACCCCAAAACTATATATACAAATGCTTGGCAAAAAGAGACAAATGCAGTCACGATATTAGAATCGATCCTGGGGTCTGGCCACAACTCTAGGGACCTAGTTTCTGAGTCAAAGCTTGGAAACAGTTGAGATCCCCACCCCATAACCATACATAAAATTGCTGGGCATGAAAAATCTAATATAGCTATGCTACAAGGATTGGCCTTGGGGTCTGGCATATTCCCTTGATCTCATTTGGAGAATAGTTTGCCATGATTGCTGAGGTATCCAGGTGAGCGATACAGGCCCTCTTGGCCTCTTGTTTTAATTGCAAAAGTTCTCTTAAGACTGTTTCTGGGTTGGTCTATGTAAATACAGTACTATACTTACATGTGTTTAGGTGAAGGCTGATGGTCGAGGGACAAGAAAGTGGTGTAAGAGAAGAGCCCTGGAGGAACAAAGATTTTACGAGATGACAAAACTCAAGGATCAGTTTAAACAGCTGCTTCGGGTAAAGTATAACACCAATGCTAAACCTTACTGATTCCATTCGGAGACCTAGAATTACCATAATATGGTGTTTTGGGTAATTAACTAGTATTCCAGGCATTGATGATGATTCGAAATTATATTGAAACTATATTACAACTTCTGATTGAGCTAAATGGTTCCCTATAATATGAAACTGGTGAATTTCGGAGGAGTTATTTTGCTTGGACCGTTAACCGCGCCGAAACGAGATCTCGTAGAGTTACACGGTAACATCGATGTGCCATTTTGGCGCGGTCTCTTCACTCCCGACTTCCAGCTGAATACACAAGAGTGACTTTCATCCACCTTCTAATCGATATTGGTACCTAAGAGCTGTTCTCTAACTATGTAGAGACGGGTGTGGTACACCACATTTTATCTACTGCATCTGGTGTCGGCGTGCGGCGAACTGACGCTATTTTTGATATTTTTTGACAGTTTTTCTTTGGAAATTTTACCTTGCTAGTCTCTTCTTGCCCGCTACGACACGTGTACTGGCCTACTTGACATGTGCGTGAATTTGCTAGTGGGAAAATTAGGGACAATTTCCTGATAGTTTATTGTTATGTTAGTTAAATTATTAGTTATATATTATCTAGGAATGATAACTGCATAACATCAAAATTATTGCCCAATTGATGGGAATTTATGGGTTATAAAATAAAGCATATAAAAACGTGAACCGGGGAAGTTTCTGTAAGCTTGAAAATGAGTTGCTTCTATGTTAAAATCCATGTATAAAGGGAATCTGAGTGGAGTTTTTCTTCCCAATCATTACAAATGCAGTTGGTAATACTTCACATTGAACTTATTAACTTTGTCTACTTAGAAAAATACCAGCGCTAGAGGTCTACGTAATCAAACTATATTCACTGATGCCGCCATACTGGAGTACTTCCACGAGGAGGAGATCCCAGTCTCTGAGGTGCGACGGATTTTGTCCAAGAAGAACAACAAGTTGGTTCCAACAGACACTTTTGTAGTGACCTTTGCTACCCCATCACCTTCGGCCGTAGTGATTGGTTACCAAAGGTGCAGTGTCTCCGTCTACATCCCTAATCCATTAAGATGCCGTAACTGCCAGAAGTACGGGCATCATGAAAAAAGATGTAGGCGGAAGACCGTTTGCCAGTACTGTGGTCGTGAAGGTCATGAGGACCAAAGCGACTGTGATATTGCCAACCTGCGTTGTGTTAATTGTGAGGGAAAGCATGCTGCTTCGTCTCGAGACTGTCCTGCCTGGAATCGCGAGAGAGAGATATTGCGGGTCAAATTTACCCGAAATGTCTCCTTCCCCGAGGCTAGGAGGATAGTGGAGAGCACGGACGTGGCTGCTCCCTCATATGCACAAGTGACGAAAGTCCGGTCGCCGGTTGACAGTGTCGCAGTCAAGGATGCTTCGGTTCAAGTATCTGCAGACATACCTGCCTGGGGCTCACAAGTCCCAGACATGTCTGGCCAAGATAACTTGAAAATCCTCACGGGAGACCCATCTCGTTTCACGTCTATACGAAAACCAACCAAAAACAACAAACAGTCAAAAGCAGCATCACCATCAAAACCAGCATCTTCATCAAAACCAGCATCTTCATCAAAACCTGCACCACAATCAAAACCAGCACCACAATCAAAACCAGCACCACCATCAAAAACACCTTCCTCTTCAGGAGAAAACCCTCCAAAGGTTGGCACATCTAGGGCACATGTGCGTTCGCAGCGATCTCGCTCACTCACATCTGTTCCTCGATCCAAACTGAAACCAGAGACAACATCACCCACCAACAAACCTAGGAAAAGAATTAAAATAGCGAGGGGCAAATCCGAAGGACCGGATCTGAATGTCAACTTTGGCAAAGGATCAGAGGACCCGACAAACCGGTTCAATGTCCTACTAGATGTCGATGATGAGATGGAGACGAATGCCTCCGCGCTTCGTGCTTCGACTCCATCGAAATCCAGCCAAAATATCAAAAGATAAATAACACAATTATCCAATGGAACATCCGCGGATTAAATGCAAATATAGAAGAATTTCTGAATCTATCAAAAGAATTTAGACCTGCCATTTTTTGTCTTCAAGAAATCATGCTCAAAAACCCAATCACGCTTAGAAATTTCTCACTCTACACTAACATTCCAACTGTAGTTAGCAGAGCAGCAGGTGGCGCAGCGGTAGCTGTCCATAAAAATATTCCTCCCAGATANAACTATCGTCCTATCTCTCTGACTAGTTGTGTATGTAAAACTTTAGAACGAATGATAAACACTAGACTGGTTTGGTTTCTTGAGGCCAACGATATAATATCCCCTCTTCAAAGTGGCTTTAGAAATAGAAGAGGGACAAATGTTTGTTTGTTTGTTTGTTTGTTTGATTCTGTTTAACGTCCTATTAACAGCTAAGGTCATTTAAGGACGGCCTCCCCTGTGTGCAAGATGCATGCGTGTAGTGTATGTGTGTGTATTTTGGGAGGCTGCGATATGTTCGTGTTTGTCTTCTTGTAATAGCGCGGAACTGATGCCGACTTTATAGTGCTACCTCACTGAAACATACTGCCGAAGACACCCAGCAGGACGCCCCACCCGGTCACATTATACTGACAACGGAGGGACAAATGACCATCTCATCAGATTAGAGACGTTCATTCGAGAGGCTTTCGCTAAGAAAGAACACCTTGTTGCCGTGTTCTTTGATCTTGAGAAGGCCTATGATACTACATGGCCGTATGGTATCATGAAAGATCTTCACGACCTTGGCGTACGTGGAAACCTTCGCCATTTTATATCTAATTACCTATCAGATAGACACTTCAAAGTCCGTGTTGGTTCAACTTTTTCTGAAACGTCTAAACAGGAAATGGGAGTCCCACAGGGTGGAATCCTATCAGTCACACTGTTTGGACTTAAAATAAATGATATAGTCAAATGTCTTGGTCAATCAACAGAAGGGTCGTTATTTGTGGATGAGTTCTTGATCTGTTACAGATCTAAGAACATGCACACGATAGAACGACNAAAAGAAACGGCTCAATTTCAAATCATCAAACAAAGAAAGTTATAATGAACACTTTACCCTACCAGAACTTGTTGATTCACTTAGAAAATCACAGGATACTGCTTCAGGTCCTGATGATATTCCATATCAATT